CGCCCCCAAACCTTTCTCAACCCCTGTCTTTGTTATTCAAAAGGAATGACACTGACACCTAAACAGTGATGGCAATAACCCATCATACACCACTCTGTCCACTGGAATAAAAACCATATCTGTAATAGTCATTGAGTCTGTAAGCAGTGTCAAAGTACTTCTCTGTATTTACTGTTTTGTCGTATTGCTTGTTTGTTTTCAGGCAGGAAACACAAAACGGAAAAACAAAGAAAACAAAACTGTATGATAATGATTCTCTTAGCGGTTTGTCTGCATAAGTCGTCAGAGATGCCGATCGAAGCATCGCATTACAATCAGCGGCCCTCATCGCCCCTCATCAGGCCACTGACGAACAAACTCTGATTAACACAACCATCTGATTACTGCAATCACCCAGGCTAACCACGCACAAGAGCTGTCCCCATGCCAGTGTACGCACACATTCATCCTAACACCTCAGTGCTCTCTGAGCAGATACGAGGCACACGCAAAACAGCTCTCATCATGCAATGTCATACAGTTCCTGTTAGACAAGTAAAGGGTAGAGAAACACAACAAACTTTGAGTTTTTAGGTGGATTAAGATGCTGAGAATATTAGAATGGAGTGAAAAGGGCAATGGGAAACCCACAAAAAACTGTATTAACTGATTTCTTTGAAGCTATATAGATACCAGTCATCATGTGAAGAAACTGTTGTGGTGCATGCAGGGATATGCATAAATATACATAAACACAATCTAAGGCACACAATGACACAAGGAGGCTGCAAGACAAGGACAGATCCGGTAGTTAAAGCGTAATGAACACGTCCCCAAGGCATGAACCTGGCATTCCCCTGAATGATGGACTGACAGTAATGCAGAGGCAGATGGGTGCGCTCCACGCCCCGTTCAACACCACACACACAAACATACACAAGTGTGTACACACGCCCTCCCCCTGGTGCATCCTGGGCCTCTCTCCTGCAGAGAGATACCCCCTGTAGGTCTGATGGGGAGGTGGGAGCATAGCAGGGGTCCTGTGTGTATAAATGCATGTGTGCGCGCAACTAGAGGTGGGGTGCACAACTATGAGGCCCCTGTCATGATTTAGGCTTCCATGCAAATTTAATCAATTCGAGTACCTCTCGCCAGCCAGGGCTCATTAGCGGCAATTTAAAAAGGAGGCTCTGTGATCCCCACCTCTTTGCAAAAAGCCAGACTTTTAACTCGGGCAAGCACACCCAAACCCACACAAACATGCTAAGATACACATTGATATCCAAACACACACACATTCACACACAAATACATGCACATCAGGGGCACTGTCAAGGCCGCAAAGATTTTCCTTCAAACATCTCCCCTCTGGCATAGAGACAGACACTGCCTCTTCCTTCCCCCACTCTTCTGTCCCTACTGTCTTTCCACAACTTCAAAAGCCCCATGACACACAGCTTTAAGTTAAAGGAGAGGGGGGATTCAGTGATAAATACTACCCTTTGCAACAATCCCACATACCCTCCAAATGCTGAAATCCCAGGCTACCTCTCTCCTCAGCTCTCTCTGTAATAGAGGGATCGATTAGCACTGTCCTTAACCATCCTTAACCCCGGATCTGTATGCAGGGCAATTGTGTGAAAGAGCTGGGTGGAGGTGCTGCACTTGATATTTTTCTGAGGAGTAAGCACAAGGTTAAAAAATGTAGAGATATGGATTTGTGTGCATACCATTTATGAAAAAAAATATAAATAGAAGCATAAAGTATAATCTGAATATAACCTACAATGGCAAATAGGTTTGCTTAAGAAATGTGGATAAATTAATTCAGCTTGTATTGCAATAACACAATCTCTCACTTAAAACAACTCTGTTCTTGGTCCTGCTTACCCCACCAGTTGTTTTTGTTCTGGGAGCTAAAAATAAGACAGTAAGGAGATATAAGTTATTTCTAACCTAAAATGTTCAAGTATTAAAATGAATAACGCCACACATTCTGCAAGGAAACCAGAACCATTGAAAGACAAACAGAAGCACAGCATCACACACATTCCACCATGCTTAACAGTGAACACGAGATGCTTTCCTACAGTTCGATGCTGTTTTTGCAACAAAACAGCAAAACCTTTGTCTCACCAAACCAAAGCGTACAGTTGTGAGGAGTGTAGAAAAGTTCAGCTGTTCTGTGTGCACTTAGGATTCTACGACAGAAAGTACATGTCTCAGAAATATTAAAAAGAGGTTTCAGATAGTTCAATGTAAGACTCGGTGAAGCCAAGTCTTAATAACAGTCTTTGTTGCAGTTCTCCAATGAGAGGTAATGGAAGTTTATTTATACCTCCCTTACTATCTTGCACGGTGGGATAATAAAAATGGGTCCTCATCCAACCCAGTTGCTAGTTGCTGAAAGAAAGGGGCCTCTGTTTGATGTCATATTTCTCCGTACTTCCTCTTAACCAGCTAAACTTTCACTCTACAACAGTGTCAGGGTCAGTTTCATACCCTGCAGCTGTGGAACTGCCACCCTGTACTCCACTTCCAGCTCCCATTTAAAATGTGACTATTCGTTAACAAACCTCACGGGTCATTAACTTTAGAGATGGCATATGGGAGTGGAGGACGGCCTATGCGAGCAGTCAAATGAGTTATGTGGGCTCCAACAATAGAGGAATGCCTGTCTATATCTTTAAAATCAGAAGGTCATCTTCTGCCCACCCCTGAGCTCTGCTACTGCGCCCCAGTGTAAGAGCCCCTTCACTGGAGAAGGAGAAAAAAAGGAGAGCTTTAGAAGGGACAGAGGCTCGTCTGTGCTCAGGTCGCATAGTCTGCGAGGGGTCCCGGAACTGCGCACACAGTGTTTTGACCCCTGGGCTCCTCTTAACGACCTACACCCCCTCAGCTTACGGACAGTGGGCCCTGGGGTCCTGGTCCATGCTCGCTCTCTCAGCATTGTGACGCAGTATCGGAGGTCAGGCTGAGAATGTGATTTATTAAATGCATGCAGGATAGAGAAGGTCTGAAAAGAGTGATTGAGCACATGAACATTGAAGAAAAATCTCTACAGCATTTTCTTTATAAAATTAGCTTTAAATGTTAATATCACTCCACTGTCACAGGTAAGATGACATGGTTTTTAGCTTTCAGTCACTCCATTTTGTTGATTTAACTAATCCTGAGCATTTGATGCCCTCTTTACTTCCTTCCCTTTCACTGTCTCCCTGCTGAAGCTGATGGATGAGCTCTGCTTATGAAGCTGCTGAAACTAGTAGCTTCACTCTGATCTGCTGCTGGCAGCCAGATCTTCAGCTCAGGTTGAAGGTAGGAAACCTTTTCCATGCATAGAATGATAGACACATAAAGTTAAATGGTAATTTTACTGTATGAATGCGTACCCTTGTGAAGCTGCTTTACTTTAACTACATCTATAGCATATTTATTCTTTTAAAAATACAATGCTTAACAGTGTGGTGTTAATATTTAGTGTTTTATAGCTGCAGGTGCAGCTTTGCTTTTTGAAGGTAGATATATATTTCTCCCAATTGTTCAAGACTGAAATGTTTGCCCTTGTTTTTGCTATATCTGATACTCTCATCCTCAAAACTAAATGGGCAAATCGGTAAGAATACTTTAGCCAAAACAGAGGTGGATTAGCGGTCACCTTCATATGTGCTATCTGAATAAAACTGTCAATAAGGAAGGAGATAGAAAGAGGACATTCTCACAGTCCTATCTGAAAATTTGGACCTATACTGATTCTGACAATACTGCATGACAGAACACTGGGAGCAGCCCACCTCACAGCAATTGACAAAAATAAACAATTTCTTCACATATGCTCTGCGTGACACATGCAAATGTATAAACCTTCATGTTTCGGGTTTTCTAAGGGAGAACTTCACCCAGTCCCTACATTTGTGTAACTTGCATTTTTTGCAGTTTTTCAGAAGGCTGTAGTCCTGGTTTTACATCCCATCATTCATGGGAGTTTCGTTTGCATAATGACGTCCGTAAGGGTGAAGGCTGTTCAGATTCAGCAGATATTGTTTATACCAATGAAGGTGTTCTTGTTGTAGACAGCATGGAAGGTGAAGAAACCAGAGGTACAAGCTACCATGCCATTGGTTGGATGGAAGGGTCATCTTTAGAATTGCTTGGCATAGTGCTTAAGTTGTGTTACTTGGTTACAAGAAGGAAATTGATCAATTTGAAGGAATCAAAACTGAGTCTAAGCATATTCTGATTAATTTAAAGGAATATAGCACTGCTGTCTAAAGATGGCCCACAAACCAATAGGTTTGTGCTTTGTAGTTAAAGAAAACTAAAATGAAGCCAGAGAGTGGTTTGTTAAATATCATCTGTTTACTTTTGGGCTGCTTGCATTGATGACCAAACCCACACAGAAGTGGTTTATTCACCTCTAATGAAAACGACCTCAACCATGTAGAAACAAGTAGAGCAGAAACAAACGAAAGAACCATAAAAAAATAGCCCTTCACAGAGCAGCTCCATTTGTGCAGATTATTTTCACACAGTAAAAAGGATAATTTACTTCTTAGATATTTGTCTGCACAGGATTTAATTTAGGAATAAAACTTTTTTTTCCAGATTTTTAACTTTAAAAAAAAAGCCCTGTTCAATTTTGGCTATGCCATTATAAAACCCAAGGAAAATACCCCAAAATTTTTTTTATATAGCAAAAGGTTCTACCTGTATAAATACCATTGTAAGGTACTGCCTACTTAACATATCTGAACAACACTCAAAAAAAAAAAAAAAAATACACTTGGTTTAAAGTTTTCTGAGATGTTTAGCCCAACATGGCATAACTACACCTGTAAGGACTGAACGACGCAGAGAGCTGTTCTCCAATTCAGGCCTTAAAACTTCATGTCCAAATCCTATTACTACATTTGAGGGGTTTAACTGGTAGATTAAAAAATAAAAAAGTAACACCATGGGCTCCTCTTATAGTCAAGATTGGGAGAAAAAAAAAATAATGGCATTTATCTGCTCACAGAACACCAATGCCCCCTACTGGTAACAAAATATTTTAACCCCATTTGAGAGAATGACCAGGGCATGAATGACATCATTGTTTTTATTCAATAGAAACTAAAATGTTTACATAAATATGAAAAAAAGGAGGAAAAATGCAACAATTTGCTGGAAAAGATTCTTTATCTGCTGGGATGGTGGCTGGGTTTGTTATTTTGTCGACCTCTTATCCCAAAACATATTTTGTCAGTCATCCACAGTTTGTCATTAACGTTTCCTCTTGGACTCAAACTTGTAAATAGCAGCAGAATTCTGGGTTTCCTTTCTCACCTTGACTTTCTTGTTTTTATCCTAAGGCCAAAGTAAACAAACATAAGAATAGAAATGATTTGGATATTACTATTCAAGTGTTTAAGACACTCACCTGTAGATCTTTACGAGTCTGAATTTTCTGACTGATAACAAACATTTTCCTCTCTCTGTCAATCCTCTGGGAAAGGATTTTATACTGGTGCTTTCTCTGTCTGGCCAGTTTCTACAAGGGAAGCAAACAGAAGAAAATTTTCCATTTCTGGGCTCAACACAGAAATTAACAACCAAAAACCTAACAAGAAATTGAAAGGAGCCGTTAGCAAAGAAAACAAAAAAAATGAGCATTTTAAATTTTAAATACAACTAACCTGAATGATTTTTGGTTCCATGGTTCCTTTGATGGTCTTAGTTTCCAGTGTTTGCAGAGTTGGTCTATTGTACACTCGATCCACCAGCTCTGGGGCGGTGTTAAGATGACCTGCCAGGTCGAACGTTTGCACTGAGGGCGCACACATAGAAATAAAACCTCAAAAAACAAGTCTTGCATAACCAACTCTGGCAGTCATGTTCTAAGTGAATAGCAATTATCTACCATGCGTCCCTTAATAAAATCTTTATCTCTACAAAACTTGGACTTGCCTTCTTTTTTGGAATCAACAAAAAAAGTATGCTTGTTCTTTTGTTTGCTCTCTGCATCCAGAAGGTGAAGCTCTCCTTTCAGCCTCTCTATTTTCTGAAAGAAAGAACATTTGAAAATGTCAGGAAGGAGGATTCATCCTACCAACTGTAAATTTTCAAAAGGGAGTTGAAAGTTTCTATTCTTAAATGTTTTAACGTTGAAAAAAAAAAGAATTTGAAATAGCTTCAATTATCGTCATTGTTTTACTTTATATATTTTTTTTATGTACCTGTCATTTAATTGTATGTATTTCTGTTCCTGTTGTAACTTTGCTGCCACTTGGCCAGGGCTCCTTTGAAGGAGGTTGTTTATCTCAATTAGATTTGTTCCTGGTTAAATAAAGTTTAATAAAATAAAAAGAATCAAAGCAGCATTTTTTTAAATTATGGCATAAAGCCACTCAAAAACCCCCCAGAACATTTGAACATTAAACAAACCAAACAAAAGTAACAATGAGGTGCAGAGTAGATGCACTCAATAGATGTTTAGCTCTTCCTTTTTGCCTGAATTAAAGCTTCCGTGTGATTCTGCTGAGGTGTTGCCTTAACAACAGCTTTTAGCTAGTTTGTGCTTTTGGTTCCTGTCTCAGCTTGAGAATCCTCTATAGATGCTGTTCAGGTTTTAGGCCTAGTCAGTTTGCAGGCCAATAATCTACAATTGCACAATGAGCCCACAGCTTTTAAAGCGACATTATTGCTGAAATATATCTTTAAAGTAGCATTTTAATTATACCCTTTATAATTAAAACATTGTTTGATGAGCAGATTGACACCTTAGTAGTTCAGTAAAGATGCATCTATAGCTTTTAGTTTAGTTAGGGTCAGAAGTTCCTGCACTGTTCAGCAGATGTGACGTCGAGCGCGTCCATGTTGAATGGGTCGGACCAACTGATCTCTGTTTATTCACTGGATTGCTGATTGGCTTAAAAAAAGTGAATCCACCGACCGGCATGTTGGTACTCCCCACTCCACATGCGCGCTCACGATTCTACGGAAGCCG